TAGCACTTGGCTTTTATTTAGCGATGGAACCGTGACCCCTTTAGATATCTACGACCCCAAGGATTTCTCCTTGGTGGTCACCTCGCTGGATGAAATGGTGGTGTCTGTCCATCAAAGGCAGGAAGATGACTGGCCAGTAGTGGTGGCCGAAGGTGAAGGCCAAGGACCGTTGATTAAAATAGAACTGGTGATCAGCGAGACCTGCCAGAAGTCCAAGCGCAAGAGTAATTTGGCCGTTGGGAAAGGGAACGTCAAGGTGAAATTTGCTCCAAAGACATCTGAACGCAATGAAGAGACCAAGAATGGCAAAGATGCAGAGGGTGGTTTTAAAAGCAACTCGTTAGAAAATCCCCTGGAAGGAGAGAGAGCAGGGCAGGACTGGTCCAAACACGATGCTTCCATGAATCAGGATGAGTTGACCAACTCAAACGCAAGCTCTCCCATTAATTCTCACAGAGAGGAACACCTTCGAAACAATTCTCTTACCTCTACGAGCTTTCCCACCCAAGAGGCTGTCCCAAGGCAGAATAGCCCCAGTGATCTCACTCTGGCTTCCAGAGGTTTAACCGATCTGGAGATTGGGATGTATGCTCTTCTCTGTGTCTTCTGCTTAGCCATTCTGGTCTTCTTAATCAACTGTGTGGCATTTGCCTGGAAGTACCGTCACAAAAGATTTACCATCAGTGAGCAAGGGAACCTCCCCCATTCCCACGACTGGGTGTGGCTGGGCAACGAGGTCGAGTTGTTGGAGAGTCCCGTGGACATTTCTCTCCCATCGGACGAATGCACCACCATCATTGACCGCGGGATACTTTTTGAAGAAAGCAACTTCCTCCTCAACGGAAGTTCTCAGAAGAGCTTCCACAACCAGATCCTTCGGTCTTCTGAATACGATTGTGACAAGGACTTCAGAAACGAACCTATAAACCCTCCCGGGCCCAAGCGGAAGAGGGTTAAATTCACCTCCTACACCACCATTCTGCCGGAGGATGGTGGCCCCTACACCAACTCCATTCTCTTTGATGGTGATGATGACATCAAATGGGTCTGCCAAGATATGAACTTAGGTGATTCCCAGGAATTTAGAGACTATATGGAAAGACTTCAGGACCATATGTAAACACACACACACAGACAGACAGACACACACAAACAACTATACATATATAAATATATATAGAACAAAACACAATTATCTTTTTATGTTTGTATTCACCTTTATGCCTTCTGTTTTATGGATGATGGAGCAGCGAAACCCAGTCAGTGATGGAGAACACTTCTCCAGTTTCGGGAGATCTGGGCTCACGATGGTTGTGAGATGAAATCCTGGCTGTGTTCTCTTTTGTTTCATTGGATACCAAACAGCTACCTACAAATCTCGGAGAAACACAACAAACTTTTTTTTGTACGCCACCAGAAACTTGTGATAGCCAATCTTGTTCAGCTCGAGACAAAGAGGATGGGTTGGTCCGTTACGTTTTCACACGTTGGGAACAAAAACATTTTGGAGACTGGGATGGGGTGGGGTTTATTTCTTTTTATTTCCCCCCCCCTAGAAAATCTTTGTAGAAGCACAGTTGAGATTCCGTCTTCAAAGCCGGAATCCACACCTCCTTGTAAAGAATTAGAACAAAATGGCCTGTTGATCAACCACGGACCAACGTGCCCTTTTTATTTCATTTTTAATATGGCTCATTTGTTTTGCGGTATTTGTTTAAAGAGCTTTCTTGATTTTTTTTTATTTGGGGGGGCAGAGGAGGTGGGATGGGGGGCGTTCTCGGTACATTATATGCCCTTTCTTTTGAGAAGACTTTTCAACCTTGGTTGTGCCAAAGTATCCTGCAATATAGTCCTAGAGTTAAAGGGAGACTGGGATAGCTATTTTGAGCTAATTAGCTCTCATCAGCCAGCCATACCCTTCTATATATTCATTGAAAGCAATGAGGAATGTGCCCCGATTAAATAAGTGGCAGGGGTTTTTTTGTTTGAAAAAATATATACTTGTTTGTATAAAAGTCCAGTTTTCCATTTTGGTAGAGGCCTTCTCACTTCCTCTTTTAGTAACTGGAGAGGGGATAACAAGGCTGTGAGGTTTTCACATGATTTTGCGGGATGTTTGTATGTGTGAAAGAACAGGATAAGATTTCGAACAGAGGTTAATTTGTAGAGCTTGCCTGGTCTGAGGCTACAGTCCCTACCTAGCTGATCAATAATCTTTGCATATAGAACATAGAATCCTAGGGCTGGAAGGGACCTTGGGGGTCTTCTAGTCCAGCCCTTTGCTCAAGGCAGGAGCCTTACACCACTCCAGTCAAACGGTTGTCCAGTTTATTTTTGAAAACCTCGAGTGACGGAGCACCCACAATTCTGGGAGGCATGCTATTCCACTGATTAATCGCTCTCACTAACAGGAAATTTCTCCTTACTTCTAGCTTGGATCTCTCCTTGATAAGCCTCCATTTGTTCCTTCTTGTCCTACCTCAGGTGCTTTGGAGAAGAGGTTGACCCCCCCCTCTTCTCTGTGATAGCCCCTCAAGTACTGGAAGGTGGCTAACGTGTCCCAATGCAACTGATTGGGCTAATTCCATTCAGTGTATATAAGGTCTCCTGCTTGAGCAGGGCGTTGGACTAGAAGACCTCCCGAGTCCCCTCCAACTCTGTTATGCTCTTCTGTTCTCAGTTTCAACCCTGCACAGATTTTTGTGCTTCTGGGGACCTAAAGAGAACAAAGCAAAGCACACAAACAAAACACACAACTCTCCCAGTGGTTCTACAAATCTGAAATTCAGTCATTTGGAGCAAAACATAGGAGGTCTTCTGAGCCATCTTCCTCCTTGTCCAGGGCTAGGAGTCCTCATGCGATCTTTAGATGAATGATTGTCCAACCTTCGCTTGAAACCCTCCAGGGATGGAGCACCCAACGAGGTGCACACACCATCACGATGGACGTCTTTCCTCCGGAATTTTCTTTTAACACCGATCCTTGGTGAGAAGACCTTCCCTAAGCCATTCAAAAAGGCAACGGCATCTCATTTTCTTCCAAAAAAAGCATCTTTGACCCCATGTGCACGTCAATGCGAGACCAATTCATTCATGAACGAATCGATGAAAGCAGTGGTGGGATTCAAATAGGTGAACAACCATTTCTCTGTATGGACGCCACTTCCGGAAGTCCGTTCTGGGCCCGGTCAACAAAAAATTAGCTACCGGTTCTGCCGAACTGGTGCGAACTGGCTGAATCCCACCACCTATGAAAGCTCCTATCATAGGTTGACTGTCATGTTCTTCAAGTTGTGTGAGCAACCCTGATTTGTATCTCTTTTTTTTCCCCCAGAGGTGGGTTTTGCAACTGCCCTATATTGCTTCATTTTCTTACTTTGGAACCCCCCCCTAAGATCTATGTTCTTACAAGGGAACTGTATATACAATAAAAAGATGGGGGAATATAAGAGAATTTTTAGCAGTGTTTTGGGACATTCTTTTGAAGCTTCACAGCAGTAGGGGTCAATGGTGGGCTGGGTGGCTTGGGTCATGTTTGCAGCCACCATCTTGGCCTCTCATGAATGGGTAGGTCCCAAACCCTCATGGTTATTGAGTCTTCTCATGAGGAGTCCTTGGTGCTCTCTGAGTTTGGTGGTAACATCATCAGACTAGCACTGATGATGTTACCTAGTTGGGTCATGAACCGCTGCAAGTAAACTACCAAGCTCAGAGAACACGGATTATTTCTCCTCCTCCTCCTCCTCCTCCTCCTCCTCCTCCNCTTCTTCTTCTTCTTCTTCTTCTTCTTCTTCTTCTTCTTCTTCTTCTTCTTCTTCTTCTTCTTCTTCTTCTTCTTCTTCTTCTTCTTCTTCTTCTTCTTCTCCTCTGCAAACCCCCCTCCCATCTAGCACTGATGATGTTACCTAGTTGGGTCTGCAAGGAAACCCCCAAGCTCAGAGAGCACAAAGATCCCTCATTTACAAATAGTCTCTCTTTATTAGTCTTTTCATGATTTGGTAGTATCTCTATCAAAGGGCAGAGATGACTGGTTTCTGATTTAATCCATGTTGGGGGTTCAGACAGAACATGTGACCCCCTGTAACTCAAGACACCCCCCCCAAAAAAGCAAGACAAATCAAAACCATTCAAACCACCTTCAGCCACTCAACTGCCAAAGTTGGAAGGAACAGTTAACCCTTGGCTAAGCAATTATTTATGAAGTAGGGGCCGAGAGTTTACCAGCTTGGTTTAACTCCCATTTTGAAAACCTTCTGAGAGGCCTGCAGATTATGAATAAAACCAACTTTTGCAATCTGATGTCCTCTGTGTATGTTGGGATATGAAGCCTAGCTTGGTCTGCAGATCAGCTTGGTGGGAATTCAGAGACTCAGAAGACTTTTCAGAGTGGGCTAAGATTGCAAGTGGGTGATGATTCTGTAGACAGAAGGTGAAAAACATCCAGATGTTGACCCCAACCGTGCACGGGAACCCCTGCCCCTTTTTAACGGCAAAGGGGGCAATAGTCCCACAGTTGTGACCATCCTCTTGACTTTTTTTTTTGATTCCTCCAACAGATGCGCTTTCTGCCAAAGCTGCAGGAAACCCTTTGCAACGTGGATGTTATGGGGAATTTTATTTTATATTTTTAAAGCAAAGCCTTGAAAAGAAGCTGCACTGAAAGCTTTTATGTTGCTTTCTTCTCCAAAAAGAGCTTTTTCTAGGAAAGCTATCTCAGAATGCTTTTTTGGAGTGGCGTATTACTTATGGAGTTCAAAGGAGCACGCTTAAAGTACATGGGAAAAAAAAACACCTCTAAAAATCAGAATGAGGCTGTTGATACTTGGCTATTTAAAAGTCTCGGGTTTCACTTTGGGATCCAGACTTTTTGGTAAATTAGGACAGAGATGAATTGGAGAGGCAGAACACTGAATTCTCGAGAGGTCCTTTTGCCCAGGAAAGTGATTTCAGACTGCAAAGATGCCCCCAGATTCATATCCAGATGGCAGAAAGAAGTAAATTAACCCCCAAAAGACATTTCCCAGCAAGACGAGAGAGTTGCATTGAGTGGTACAGCTGGGGTGTTCACAAGAATTGATCCATCACCCCAGCAGATGGAATTTAGCTCAGCAGCAGAGAAAATGGATGACCAACGAGACAGGAGATTTATCATTTTTTTTTAAAGAAACAAAAAGAGTAAAGAATCACATCCAAGTATATTTAGAGTGTGTATCAAAAGACATGACCATCGGCGCATTTGAACATTTGTATAACAGGCCTGATGCTTGTAAGATTCTGGATGGGACTTGGGAGATGATTCCCCCAACTTTGTAACGTAGTGGATGTGGATAACTATGTGGATGCACATAGTTTTCAAAGGGTGTGAATGGAGATGGAAAGGTTGATGGTGAGGAAGCCGAACAAGTAATGAAGGGAGCTATAGGGCAAGAAGAATCTGGACCACATGTTTAGCTCCAGTTAAGCTGATTTATCACTCAAGAATCTAGTCAACTAACGGTCAGCACTAAATTGGCAACAGAGAAGAGTTAACGGAATTCATAGGAGGTTAGTTTCTGGGAACGTCATGATTCCAGGCTGATTGCTCTCTTGACTCCACCCCCAGCATCTGCCTCTCCTTCTCCTACAGGAACCTCTTAATTTCTGGAGATAAATTTCAGTGAATGAGTGTTCCAACCTCAAATTATGACAAGCACTTGCTAATTAGCAACTGCGCAGCAGGGAGCCCGATGCGAAACATTAATGAGCATGACTGGACTCTTGTTTTCCTGCTGCTTTTTTTTTTTAAAGAATATTTGAAAACTATATGTTGAAACAGTGCTCTGAGTATGACAGCTTTACTGGCGTTTGCAGATTGACGAGGAATTAAAAGGCCGAAGAATCTTCCTGTAGACAAAACCCATCTTGGAAGCAACTATTTTCTATTCAGAAAAGAGGAGAAGGCGCTTAGCTTTTAGGATGAGAATCGCATCAACTCTGTCAATCAGTGTTGGGTAAGAACCTTAATTCATGAGCTGAATCCTGGCTGTGACAGGTTTTGCACATTCAGAGAATAAAATAACAATAACAATAACAATTAGAACAACAACAATAACAACAACAACAACAACAACAACAACAACA